GTTTGCCCAGATCTCATGCAATAGCTGGCAATAGGCAAAATTATCCTCTTGTTGCCAAGCATGGGAACAGTACCAACAGGACCGGTGAAATGGCCAGGGAGCAAGTGTCTACAGCTAGAAGTCTCTCATAAAGAAGAGATGCTGGCTGCCGTATCACTTGCAGCTAATCCTAAAGCAACTTTCAAAGGATAAAACTATGAGTGGTTGGGAACGGTGAGGTCAGAGCTCCCTCAGGGACAGGCCTGCAGGCAGGGTTTTCACGTTGGTGTGGGACAGGAGGACTTCACACCAGCCCTGAAGGGGATCCCAATGTCCTTCTAAGAGACAAGTACCTGAGCATTATTTATACACAGTGGCAGAGCTGACCAGAACCTGCATAGACAGCAGGAGCTGCCTGAATGGGATTTTCCTTAAACTCAAGCAGCCTTGCCTTTAGAGTTGTTTTATTTTTGTCCTTTATGGAGATCGCTGTCACAGGAATCAGCTCCAAGTGCTTCCTCTTCCCCATCTCTAGCTGGGTCAGGCAGGGTAACCCCATACCCCACAGATGGAGGAATCGGCTCTAGCTGGGCCAGGCAGGGTAACCCCATACCCCACAGATGGGCTAGAAGACGTTTTTGCCTTGAAGCCAGGGTCAGTCCTAGGATAGCTTCAGCTTTTGCAGACAAGACATTGAAGTTAGAGAGGAAAAAAGTGCTGCTGTGTTTCATGTAAAGGCAAGGAATAAGTAACCGGCTACAATAGGGGCTGTATCATTAGGAGCATTTTAAAAATCCAGTAAACTAGAAAAACTTCTAGGGATAGCTGCTTTGATCTAAAGACTCCTTAAAGTATTTGAAGTACTAACAAAGCTCTGCAGACTGGACAGCTGTGGACTTTGCCTAACCTGAGCAGCCCTGTGCATTTCCCCATTGCTCTCCCCTTTGCCATTCCTTTCAAAAGTTGCTAAAGTTTTGCCAAAGGCTTGTTTTCACTTCCAAGGAAGAAAAAAAAAAAGTAAGCACAGCAGTGAGCCTTTGCACAGCTGCTTACGATGTCTGCAAGTCCCATGTGGGAGACTGTGAACCATTGCTCCCAGGGGAAGAGAAAGTTTTGAAGCAACACAGATACACAGCCAAAACCGGGTCGTAGGCAGGAGGAGGAAAGCTGTACCGGTGGAACTGCACAGCTGTAGCGAAGGAGAGCGAGCTTTCCGGATCCGGTCTCTGGACAGATGCTACAGTCTCTGGACAGCTGCAAGATGAGGACAGTTCTGCTAACACGCTTCTCAGAGGCACTTGCTGGGCTGGAAAAGCAGGTGCCACTTGCACTGGGCTGCAGCAGCAACTTGCATTTAGCTCCAGCAACCCATGCACAGAAGGTCAGACAGCTCCTGCACCCAGCTTTGAGAGGCCTGGCACGGAGGGAGGAGGAAGAAGCACTGACTAGGGAGGAGACACTGCAGGTGCTTCTCATGGCTGGCTGTGGTCTGCTGCCGGAGTCCCAGCCTGGACATTCAGGCAACTCTGCACCTCCTCCAGCAGCATGGGGCAGGGCACAGGCGCCAAGGAGCCACCTGGACCCAGGGGATCTACATCTACCCAGGAGGATCGATCTTTCCTAGCCTGCAGGCAGACTCCCATATGTACAGATGCCCACACCCACCACCACCCGTTCCAGACCAGCAGCCTTGTTCCGTGCCCAGAGCACTTGTACCTCCTTGATAGTACTTAACTTCAGTACAGCAAGGCTAATTCAGAAGAGTATTTTATTATCATCCCCACCCTTCAGGGAGTCAGAGCAATCTGAAAGATCAGACACCTGAGCTCAGCCAAGGACCTTGAAGGAGCACTGCCAACCCAGCACACAGCCATGAGGTGGGAACAGATGTGAAGGAGCTCCTACATCAGAGCAAAGACACATGGTATTGCCCTTCCTACGATGGCAAGGAAGTAACTGAAAGTAGAGGCAGGTATCAAGGTCCAACAACATAACTCATTTACTTACTGGGGTGCGTGACCAGTGTGAACAGACAGACTGAAGTTACCTATGCCAGCTCCTCTTGTAGGGCAGCTGGCGCAGTCCAAGCCATGTCCCTTCAGGGAGCAGTCACAGGGACCCCCATCCATGGGCTCCACAGCCCCCGCCTCCCTCAGGGAGCACAAGGGCCAGAGGCAGCAGGACCAGGACAGGCCATGGCAGAGCACACAAGGCTTTGTCAGTCTCAGGAGTCACGTTCTCCATCCAAGCAGGGGAGGATCTCTTTTTCCAAGCATAGTACTTCGCCACGACCACATTGGGGTTTCCCTGGGCAGGGTCAAACCACATCTGGATGCAGCGTCCGCTGCCCCGGTGCTCTGTGGTGTATTTGTAAGAGTTGGACCAGATTTTCTCACACAGGTCTTTTGGTCGGGGGAAGACGTGGCTGAAGGGTCTGCACATGGAGCCCCAAGGACAGCGGTTTGTTCCTGAAGACAGACAGCACCACAAAAGAAGACAACAACATGAGCAAGCACACTCCACTCATGTCCTTTCACCTGGGAGGAGCAGGCCACCTGCCCGCAGCCTGCATCTTAGCCGATGGATGGTGGCTTGGCCACCTTCTAGTTGGCAACCCCACAGACAGGTGAGAGCAATTAGGGGTCTTGGCTCCAGCCACCAGGCAGTGACACTGCCAGGGGCTTGCCTGCAGGGGCGAGGAGAGGCTTGCTCCACACAGCCCACTGACCTGTTGCCCAGTTCCAGCCCTTGTGCCAGTTCTCTTTGCAGGTGACGTAGTCCTTGCAATCCTCCCACCACTCCTCACAGTCCTCTTTGCAGAGTGGCACATGAAGAATCCTCTCCCGACGCCAGCTGCTGTCAGCCTGCAAGGAACAGGACCGTGCACGCTGGTGGTGGCCCTTGAAAGTTAAGGGGCAGGATCTGCCACATCCCAGATTCCCCCCCGCCCCTTCCATTGGGCTCCAGAGCTGATCTCGGAAGAGTTTCAGCCCCAGCAGAGACATGCCTTGACAACAAGCAATTCTTCCATCAGCCTGTCTGACTACCCAAGCAGAGGCCAGCAAAGTCCTTTGAATCTTTCCACCCAGTAGGAAAGTTTGCAGTGTCCCTGGAAAGCACACTCCCATACGTGCCAGGGGTATACTGGGTGGGGGACCAGCATATAACATGTCACGTGGCCAGTACAAGCCCTGTTGTCTTAATCACAGCAGATCTGATCCTACCTGGTCAATCCAGGGCCCCAGGTTGGGTGAGCACTCATACAAGCATGTGTCCTGGATGAAGTGGCGCTTGCACTTGGGTGGCATCAGCCCACAATGGTTCCAGTTGAAGTTGTACAGGTTGGATTGGTCCTTGTGGGCTTCTGAACTGGTGTTGGCTGTGCAGCAGGCGTTGTCCTTCCAGGGAGCACACTACAACGGAGCAAGAGACAGGCTGGTCAGGGAGGGCAGGCAGCAGCTCGAGGGAGTCAGAGGATGCTGCAGGTGCCAGCTCCCTGCAGAGCCTACAGCAAGAAGCCTTCAGCAGCAAGAGGATTTCCTCTCCTCCAGCAAACCCTTGGGCACTGTGGACTGAAGCGTTCAGGGCTGCAGCAAGATGGAGCTGGAGGAAGAGCAGGAGGAGGAGGTCAGATCCTCACCAGGAATTAGTGCCAGCCTGAGGAATAGAAACAAACTCCCTTCTCTTGCACCCTGGCTTGCTCTTAGCCCCATCCCCACCAAGGACCTGGGGGCAGAGCTCTTCAGTTAGCAAGAAGAGTCTCTAACACTGAGAGGGAGCAGATAAGAGTGTCTTTCCTCACCATCCTTTACCTTGTTCTGATCTGGGGTACCTAAGCTTTGGGAAGGGGAGGCCTCCTGGTTAAAGAGGGGTGACACTGAGCTGACAGATCCTCACACCATTGCATCTGCCCTAGCCATTTGCTAGAAGAAAACAGCAAGCAAACAGGTGTCATACCCAGCACAGGCTTTCTCCCTCAGGCAAGGGGTTGCTAAGCCCAAAGCACAAACCAGCCCGTATCATCTGGGGAGGTAGGTACAGGGGACCCCACCGGTGGGGGGGGTAGGTACAGGGGACCCAGACAATCCCACCTAACTCATCAGCAGCGTCATACCTGGTCATGCAGCATCCCCTCTGGGCCAGGCTTGGTTTTGTGGTGTTTGGCATCCATACAGATGTTCAGCAATGGGTCCTTCGCAGGCATCACCGCAGAGGCAGCCAGCAGCACAAGCAGCACCTGCCCCGCTCCCATCCCCACAGCCAGCCCAGTCGGATCGGGGAGCTGGGAGGTGACAGAGCTGTACAGAAAGGGGACAGCATGGGAGGGCTTTTGCCACAAGCAGCAGTAAACGAGGTGCTGTGGGGGCCAGGCACTCCTGAGGACACACCAGCAGACCACCAGCAACTCACAGCACCAAGGACACAAGCGCAGCCCCCCCAAGCAAGGCTGGGAGGTCAGCTACACATTATCCTCCAGACACTGCTGCATCGGAGACAAACGGCCCTCTTGGTGCTTGGGCTGTTCAATAGTTAACCTCAAACATGCCTGATCGGAAAGGGGATGCTGTGCGAGACCCATTCAAATGGGGGTCCTTTCGCATTAAGCCACCCCACTGTTTCAGCACAGAGCTTTCAGCTCCCAAACCTTCTGCAGCTAGACACTGCTAGTTAAGGGATCTCTTTAGCTAGGGGTTCAGAGGAGGCAGTTAAATGCACTAGCACACTGACATCTTGTGTGGACCATGAGCTGCAGGAGGCACACCTTGTTTTCAGGAGTATATTAAGAGAGGAAAGCATTTTCTTTGGTTTATCTGCATCTGGGCCTTTGGAGACCCACACCTGAGGTCTCCAAAGGAGACCTGACTTGAGCAGTAAGAGACACTTCACATAATGATGCCTTAGCCTCCTCTGCCCACCTAGAGAGCTGATAGGGCTTTTATAGTAGTCCACTAAAAAAAACCAACAAAACAACACCAAACAAAAAAGGCAACCAAGGAAAACCCCCAAAAGCCAAACAACAAAGAAACATACTGCGGTACTCCCTTACATTCCTTGTCAGTACAGCATAAGGATCTAAAACAATCACCCTTTAAGAAGCGTTTTGCAAAACACAGGAGCAAGACAAACCACTTACAGCATTAAAATAGCATAAAACAACACAGAAGACAGCAATTACAGAACTAAGGAAGCAGACACATAAATCCAAGGACTAGGAAGTAGCTAACTTGCATCAGAACTATATATATAATCAACAAAAAAACCCTGAAGAAAAAAAAAACCAACACCAGATACCAACCTTACCAGCCCAGATAACCTCTAAACCCTCTGTAACACCTTAAAAACACTCAGCACAGCAACTTCCTGGGGTCAGCTTTAATAGGAATGCCTTCTGACACAGGTGCTGGCACTTGAAAGTACCTTCCTAATATGTTTAACAAGGTTTAACTTCTGCCAGCATTTGTTACCTTAGAAGCAGTTGTTTTGGTGATAACCAGCTTGTCCAGCCTCTTTCACAAGCAACACCCTCTTGCCTGGGAAGCAGTCTAGTGTTTTTTTCAAAAGGCAGGTTTCTTATCAGCCTTGGCCATTCATAACAAGCCCTTTTTCCTCCACTCGCCTTATACCAGGCAGTTCTGATTTGCACCATTGCATGAGACAAAAAAGCAAGGAGGGACAGATCCAGGATTCTGCCGTACCAAGAATAAATACAAAAGGGCTAATGCTCATCACAAAAAAATGACATGCAGGAGTAAGTGCAACACAAAATAAATGCTGGCTGATGGGGGGAAACAGTGCACCTTGTTGCAAAAACCTGAGAACAATAACGGAAGCCAAAAGCTAGGGTTTGCTCACAAGACCCCTTGGAAAGCCCCCACCCTCAGCAAAGGGGCAGAGTCTTCCTCCTGGCACAGCACCGGTTTGGGGGCTGTTTTGCTCTTTTCTTCAATCACATCACTGACATTTTGGTGATGAACCCACTTGCCTAAGGAGTTCATCTTCCTAAATTAGTGCATGAACACTTTAGGTTCTAGGAGACCCTGCTTTAGTGATTTCTACAGTCTAATGACACGCTGCGTGAATAATGACCTCTGTATGTTCGTTCTGAACCAGACGCGGGCTGTTTTTATTTCTCGTGCTTCTAGCCCTGGTATTGGAAGTGACAATGAGCAGATCTTCCCCCAGTCATCTTTGAGCCTTTGCCACCTCTGTCGTATCTCCCCTCCGTTGCCTCTTTCCAACCGAAGCCATGGTCTGCTCACTCGTTTCCCATGATGAGTGTTTTGCTCCTGAGGCATCAGGACTGCAGCAGTGTTTCAGATGCACAGCGCTGTCCTGGCCTTGTTTTCTGGTCCTTGCCTAGGAATTTCTAATATCTAGTTTGTTTTTGGAACTGCTGATCACTGAACTGTGTTGTCGTAACACTATGATAACTGTGACAGCTTGTTCCTGAGAGATAATTGTTAGCCACCAGCCTGTCATTTTCTATCTGAAGTGTTCCGTTTTTTCCCCAAGTGCATCACTGTATGTTTATCTCAAATGTTTTTTTTTTAACTGTTGTTTTATTGTTCAGTGACTCAGTCTTATCAGGGTCTTCTGCAGATTTTCGCAGCTGGTCCTCCTGTTCCTGGAGTAATTTAGTATCATCAGAAACTTGGTTGCCTTGCTCTTTTCCCCTCCCTTTCCCAGACAAAATCTGTTCAAAAGCAGAAATCCCAGTACAGATTCCTGCAGGGGTTCGCTGTAAAGGGATAGCCATGCACTTTTATTTTATGATTCAGTTATTCAGTGGTGTGCGGAACTTTACTCTCATTTCATGGCTGCTTATTTGATGACCTTCAGTGGGGACCTTGCTCAGAGCCTGTCGTGGTTTAACCCCACGCAGCCGCTCACTCCCCCCCCTCCGGTGGGATGGGCGAGAGAATCGGGAGGGCACAAGTAGGAAAACTCCCGGGTTGAGATAAAACAGTTTAATAATTGAAATAAAACAAAATAGAACAGTAATAGTAACAGTGAGAACAGCAACAATAACAGAACATACAAAGCAGGCGATGCACAATGCAACTGCTCACCGACCACCGACCGCGGGTCACGAACGGGGGGCGAGCCCCCCCACACCCCCGGGTTTTACACCGAGCATGGCGTCACACAGAATACCCCATCGGCCAGCTGGGTCCACCACCCCGGCTGTGCTCCCCCCGCCCCAGCAACAGCCAAAGCATCAATGGGCCATCAACGCTCCCTTCACACCAAACCCAAAACACAGCACACCCCCCAGCTACTGGGGAGAGAGTTAACTCTGTCCCAGCCGGAACCAGGACAGAGCCCTTGGGAATCCAGGTAGACTCACCTGGATCTGCCCCAGCCAGAATCCTTTCCAGCCCCTGGAGGACTCGCAGTATGTGAGGGAGTCTTGTCTGCACGCTAGAAGAGCCGTACTGACCCTTTCCCCATAGGGCGTACTTATCCATGTGCCTACGGATTCAGGCCGTTACTACATTTTCTGCGACCTTTTCCCACAGAGATACCATGTTCATGGCTGTGCAGATCCCTCGATCTCTCCAGAAAGCCTTTTGAGGTGTCCCATGTGAACGTGCAGACCTTGTCCTTGCAGGGGGTACTTGTACACGTGACAGTGCAGAAAATGGGGGAACTCTCTCCCTCTCACTGTAGTCCTGCCCATATCCTCGTACTTAATGGGATGGGTGGGTGGCTGGGTGCGTGCACATTTGCTCCATCCAGCTGATTTGCCTTCTGCAACCTATCTCCAGGGTCTGGGATCGAATTGCTTTGGATGCTTCTTCCCTGGGGTCAGGTTTGGGTGAGCAGCTGCTGGGTAACTGCTTTAGGGTGTGCTGAGGTGCCTCTGGGCACCCCAGGGGCTGCATTAGCTGGGAGCTCAATGCACTTGCCTACGGTGCTTAGTGCCACTGGAGATCACAGATCTCATCGGAGATGCCTGATGATGTCCCACGTGGCTTCCCACTGCTACTGCTGCAAAGAGCTGTGTGTGTTGTTATGATACAATCTCATCTACGGGCAAAAAGCAAACGCACTTGATGTATAAAGCCAAGAATTAATTCTTAGTGTAATTGAAAACAGGCCAATACAAGAAACATTGATAGTCCAGATCCAGTTATTACATAAAAAAAGAAAGAAATTAATATTTCTCTACAGAAAAAGAAGTAGTAGTAGTAATAGTAGTAG